TTTGCTGCGGCGCTCCGTGCAGGTCGCCGTCTCTCTCTCTCTCTCTCTCTCTCTCTCTCTCTCTTGTTTTCGAAGTAGAAAAAAACATTTTTTTCTTTCGCCCACGCACACCTTTCTGTTTTTGACCGTTTTTTTATATTTTTTCTTTCGTTTTTCACATCTGAATTCCTTTTTTTTTTCTTTTGTTTTTCAGATCGGGATTCCCTTTTTTTCCTGTGTGTGTCATGCCTGGAAACACGGAGCCCGACCATTCCGCAACGACCGGACCTTCCCTTGGCCGACCCCCTAAGGCTGCGGCGCTTTAAACCACCAGTACTTGGGCGACGCCTTAGCGTTAACGCTACGGGAATTTCGCTACCGGCGGGCCGTCGATAAATCGTATCGACAGCCCGTGCCGCTTCAAAAAAGGTGCGGCCGGCGCGGCGCGCAGTGCCCGAGTACTGGTGGTTTAACGGGGAAGGCCCGTGGCGGATGTATGGCCCAAGTACTGGTGGTTTAAAAACAAAAAAGACCATATTATCATTGAACTACTGACGAACACCAAGTAGTTTAGAGTTACTGAGTACGATTTGAACTCAGGTCTCTTTTCTTGTCACCAATTCATCGGTGTACCATCCACCCATAGGCTCTGGGTGCCCTCTTTGTTTCTGAAACCCGTGTTGATTTTGTGTCGCCACCCTTCTGCACTTTCGACTGGACACTCGCTGATCTGTGATGTCCACCTCAGCGGACGGGAGCCCGGCCGCAGAGGAGAATGGAAGTAGCAGTGCAGCTGCCGATGGGCGACTGCGTTGAAATGCCACCTGCAGACTGACCGGGCCCAGGTAAGCGAGAAATATTTGATGTCAAGTGGCATTCGGAATCGAGCGCAGTCCGGTATTTCAACAGTTCATGGGATACCAACTGAGCTAGGCCCGTTGGTAAGCCTGAAGAGTTCAGGGCAGGAACAGAGCAAACTCTTCTTGTCTTGATTAGACGTGAACAAGCTGTTTGCGTTGCCGCCCGCCGTGCGCCGGTACGTGTACCAGCTTCCCCCGAACACAACGTACCCTCATTTTACCTGCACCGGACCGGAAACATCGCTTGTATACATTCATCATCAGGGTGCGTTATGCTGCGGGACGACGGTAGTACTGGTAGTACTGGTACTGGTACCGGTACCAGTACCGGTAGCGGGACCGCTGCTTCTGCCTCGGGCTGCGCTTGGCCGGTGAGCGTCAACGGAAAGTGAAGGATGCCTCTCATTTTCGGACCGAGTGTGAAATCGGATAGTGGCCTGAAAGAATGCCGGGGGGCCGGGAAGCGGGGAAGGAGGGGGCTTCTACTATTTGGAGACGTCAATGAAGAGAAATAGTAAACGTTCGTGATCCATAATCAAATCCGACAGCTTGCCTCGTGCTATCATACCCAGTGGGAGGGATATGCAGAGAAGAGGAGGAGGAGGAGGAGGAGGAGGGGAGGAGTAGGAGAAGGAGGAGGGGAGGAGTAGGAGAAGGAGAAGGAGGAGGGGAGGAGTAGGAGAACGAGGAGCGGAGGAGTAGGAGCCTCGGTTTATCTTCATCATCTCATGAAACTCGACCGACGCGGGGACCACCGTAGCCGTCAGGAGTGCTTGCTTTTCAAGGGCATCGGCATGGTGGGACAGTCGGGCGTTCTGGACGGAGTCTGTCACGTCGAGGTCAGATCGACACTGACGTACAAGGGTTGACACTGATGTGGATACGGACATGGATTTCGATATCGATATGGCTGTCGATGATGTACTGAATGCTCAGCTCTTCTCTGGACATGTGCCTTTCCGGGGCTGCGGCTTTCTGCCGTTTGCTTTGATTGACGATGGACGACAACGGAGCGGCCCGACCCAGGTCCTAGAGCAGTCTTGCTGCCGGTCGAATGATTTCTACCGAGGAAGTAAGGATAAGGAGGAGGACAAGTCTGTATGCTCTCCCCCCTCCCGGCCACCCCAGCACCATTCTCCATAGGAGGCGAGGCGAGGAGCCGTCGCCTTCAGCGGCTTTCGGATTACTTATACTGTGTGCTCATAGCGGAGCTGCCGTATGGAGGTAATCTTCTCGCTCGCCTTTTTTTTTTTTTTTTTTCAATGATCCTTCTGCAGAAGGTTATCTTTTCGCTCGCCTTTTTAATATTCCACCCTTTTCTGCTGTTAAGTTCTGAGAGGGGAATCCAACTGAATATAGATGCGATGAATCCAGTCCGTGAGGGAAAAGATGGATCCAACTCTCCAGGTTAAGGACACGCCCTAGTGACACCTGGACGGGGGTTAGGGGTTCTTATCCTGCAGTCTTGTGCTTGTTCGATCCTTATGAGGGAACGGTGAACGCGGATCGCTCATTAAATTTTATCTGTCGCCGGTTCTTTGTCTATTCGTGCGTGGGAGCCCTGTTCAGACAGGTAGAGTTTCTACTCGAGTTCTGACCGTGCGTGCAGTTGCAGTTAACACTTGAGAGTGAGAGCGTCACACCTGCGATCCCACACACACACAGAGAGAGAGAGAGAGAGAGAGAGAGAGAGAGAGAGAGAGAGAGAGAGAGAGAGAGAGAGAGAGAGAGAGAGAGAGAGGTGCGGGAGGGGGAGGGGGAAGGTAGAGGTTGCAGAGTGAGCTATGTGGCGAACAGAGAGAAAGAGTTGGACGAGATAGGCTCAACTTCGGCTTGGATGGTTCGACGGGATGTGAGAGAGAGAGAGAGAGAGAGAGAGAGAGAGAGAGAGAGAGAGAGAGAGAGAGAGAGAGAGAGAGAGAGAGAGAGAG